GAATGGTTTAAGCTGACTTTGCTGTCAAAATCTTTTTATATTTTAAAGACACATGATTTTTGTATATATGTACAACTCTCTGGATATCTTTACACAAATTCATGGGTGAAACTGGTATAATCCTTGTTTAAGAAAATCCTAGAGTTACCTTGATAATGGTGGTGTTCAGATTTGGCAGTGTGGAGGCACCCTTGAAATCATCCCCTGCTCACATGTGGGTCACGTGTTCCGTGACAAGTCTCCCTACTCATTCCCTGGGGGTGTGGTCAACGTCGTCATGAAGAACTCTGCCCGTGTGGCTGAAGTCTGGATGGACGAGTGGAGAGACTTTTTCTTTGAGATGAACCCAGGTACCCTCCATTTGCCACCCGCAGACAGACACATCGAACCTCCGCCAATTCCCCGTTCCCCAATCTACATTTTTCTCCCATTTATTTCTCCTCACCCATCTCTCTTACCCATTACCCTGACAGCTCAGTGATGACCCCACAGTGACTCTCCTCTTACCAGACAGAACTACTAGGCACAAGGGTCATCGTACTGTGTTACTTTTACTAACACTCCTTTTGCAGGGTTGCAATGATGATGTTGTACCCATGCCTCTCAGCTGCTAACATGTCCTATGCGAGATAGCATCCTCTTTAGATTCTTTGCACTATAAGATTGTAACATAACAATATAAAGAAATTCCTTCATGAAGCAAGTATATTAAAGAACAAGTATAAATGCTTCATGTGTCAATGTTGACTTTTGTCTTTGAAAATCAAACAGATTTTTATAGACAGAAAAATATATAATGCTACATGAATTGGAATTAACTGAAATGAAAGAATAATGTATACACTGCATGTTTTTATTTGGTGCAAGTGAAATTAGTTATTAGAACTAAAAATGTGCAGGGTAATAGGTAATGCAGTACATAATATAGTATCTACAGCATTTTGGATAGATATTACCAATTTAGAAATGGGATTTGTACATTAGTCTTGTATCCAAAATGCTTTAGACATGTTTACTAACACAGTGAAATCATTGGTAATGGATATGTAAATATAACCTATAATCAAATAACTTTTCATTCCTACAGATGTAACAAATGGTGGTAGGACTTTTAGGATTTTTTTCAAGGTTTGTTCAGTAGTTAACTTGTCTGCAGATCAGTTATAATGCCCTGGATATTTTTAGTTATTCATTTCTTATATTTCAGTATTACCTGTGATAAGATGTGCAGACATGTATAACTTCAAACAGGAAGGTTGATCTTGTCACAGTATTAGAGGAATGAACCTGACAGGGAGGATTAATAAGAGTAGCAGCTTTGGGAGGTGTTGGACTTTTAGTTTTTACATGCTTAGCCAGAGCCTGGATTCTCTAGGCACGTGGGTCAGTGGCTAAAAACATTCTTACCAATCACAGTGTAGAAAGTAGCCATCACCAGCACTGCTTGGCTCACCTGTGGATGAATCAATCCCCTGCAGGTTTGGATGTGTGGGGGTACGCTAGAGATCGCCACTTGCTCCCATGTCGGGCATGTGTTCCGCAAGTCAACCCCGTATACGTTCCCTGGGGGCACTTCCAAAATTGTAAACAAAAACAACGCTCGTCTTGCGGAGGTCTGGCTGGACGACTGGAAAGAATTCTATTACAGCATAAATCCAGGTCAGGCTGCACACTTGCCTCCACTCAGGTCACATGCACTACCCCAAATTTAGTTTCTTCCACTTGTGGACACCTGTTTGTGCATGTTTCTTATGAGTGACTGAAAAAGTAAATTGTATAAGGAAAGCTGGTATGAGGATAAGGTTGTTGATGGTGCATAAGAAGTGTTGTGTAAGCCATGGACTGGATGTTTCTTTATTTTGCATGTTATGAATGAGGACTTCCAAATATTTGCACTTATATCTGTAGCTATGTGGGACACCTTGCTTCACTGAAAGTTTTTTTCTGTTTTATTAAATCTTGTATGGTTGCAAGGTATGTTTGATTGTCCTGACCGTATTGTGTGAAAGGTTTACTGAGAGGAGTCACATTTTAGATGTACAGGAATTAGATAAAGATTTGTATCTTCTACTGTTGCGGGTAAGATTGAGTCGATTGTTGAAAATGAGTGCAAAAATTCAAACCTTGGGAACAGATTATTAGACACTGTAGATAGGCAGGCTTTGTACATAGTATGTTTACTTCACCTTCTTTTCTAGATCACTGTTTCATTACATGTTTTTATACATAAAATGAAGGAATATATGTTTAGTTATATATATTCTGATACTTGTGCATGGTAACATTAATGGATTGTATTTTCTCATTATACCAGTGGAGATTTAGCAATGAATAGATGCAGTTTTCTTATTTTTGGCCCAGAATCTTTAACCCTTCAGCATTGCGAGTGCATACTTACATTCACTTTTCTCTCTTATTACTTTTTTTGGCACAATTAAAGGACCAGAAAGGGACTTTTCACTAAAGTGTCATTACTAATAACAGTACTGATAACATTGGTAATAAGAATAATGAAAATAAAGAGTGGTGATGATGATAAGAATGGTAATAATGCTAACAATCTTGAGAATGATAATAAGAATAGTAATAATGATTTTTATAATTGCTATTATTATTATTATTATTATTATTATTATTATTATTATTATTATTGATTGTTATTGTTATTGTTATTGTTGTTATTATTATTAGTATTAGTGTTATTGTTATTGTTATTGTTATTATTATAATAGTGCTAATCATAGTAATTACTACATTGATAATAGTAAAGTAACCAAAATACAGACTTTTTCCAAAAAATTCAAGAAAGAGATAAACAGGTATGGGCAAGTAGGCCTACTAATTGACTCTTAGGAGATCAAGTGCTTGTGGAGCCATCTATGTATGGAAAAGAAAAAAAGTGTGATTATACCTATAGTAGACAGTGCATGTTCCTAGCATCAGTAGGTAAAAAGCATTGTAGATTTGAATTAACAAAAATTAAATGTATCGGCTTTGATTCATAGTATAGTTTTTTTTTTAGATATTTCTGTTAATATCGTACTTATTATTGATTTTTCATTGTCTAGAACTTGTGATAAGAATTTGGACTCCTTTACTGCTAGATGTCACTGAATATTGTCTTTGATCATCTATCATGTATGTTTGATATGCTGATTATACAGTATATATTGTATTAAGAGCTTTGATTAACAATATAGTTGATGATGGTTACCTGACTACCATGGAAAATGATTTAGTATGCAATATGTCATAAAAAGAAAAGAAAAAAGAAAATGTAATTGCTGTTGGTATGTATGTAGATTCTGTGAAAGCACACTTGTTAATCCATTGGCATCAGAACATGCACTGGTTTACATGTCGATGGCTTCAGATGTGCATTATCATCAAGGAGTCACTTGGTACGGTAGGCCTAACGAGACCCCCATGAGTATCTCCCTTCCATTGTCTTATTTTTTTCCCCAAAGAGTATTGATAATGTTACTGTCAATGATGATGATGATATTGTTATTTTCATTATTATTATTGTGATTATTATTATTGTTATTATTATTATTGTTGTTGTTAATTATTATTGTTATTATTATCATCATCGTTAGCATTATTATTATCATTCTTTTTATTATTATTATTTTTATTATTATTGTATTTAATAACATCATTATCATGGTTATTGTTTTCATTATTGTTGCGATTACTATTATCCTTAATCATTATTTTATTGTTGTTTTTGTTATTTTTATAATTATTATTATTTTTATTATTATCACATCATGATTATTGTTGTTTATATTATTATTATTATTATTATTTTCAGTCATTATTATTGTTGTTATCATCATCAATGTTTTTTTTCTGTTATCGCAATTATTATCATTATATTTTTATTATATTAATTAATATTATTATTATTATTATTATTATATTTATTATTATTATTATTATTATTATTATTATTATTATTATTATTATTATTATTATCATTATATCATTATATTATTATCATTATATTATTGTTTTATTTCATTATTATTATTATTATGTTTTCTTAATGTTCTTTTTATTATATCTTCATTATTATTATCATTATCATTATTATTACTGTTATTATTATTGTTATTATCATTACCATTATTATTATTATTATCATTATCATTATTTTCATTATAATCATTATCGTTATTATTACTATCATCATTATTATTATCATTATTATTATCAATACTATTGTTATGATCATTATCAATCATTCATCAATCATCACCATCATCATTATCATTATCTTCATCAACAATCATCATTATTATCATTATTAGTCATCATCAATCATCACCACTATCATCATTGTCATCATGAATCCCCATTATCATCATCATCATCATCATTATCATCATCATCATCATCATCATCATCATCATCATCATCCATTATCAATCATCATCAATCACCAATTGTCATCATCATCATCATCATCAATATTTATTATGATTATTGTAATGTTAGCAACAATACTAATAGCAGTGAAAGATGAAAATGATATTTATTGAAAATTAGGGAAAAGGATAAACAGGTGAGATGAGGAAGGCCTTGTAACTAACTCCCTGATGGCTAAGCATTTGTGGAGCCATCTATGTGTATACATAACTCAGTAGACTTGATATGTATGCACTTCGTTCCAGCATGAACAGGTTGAAATAATAAGTGAGATAGAAAAAGGTAGTGAAGGTATTCAGCTCATGGAAAAGATATTGCCCTGTGCAATTGCAGATGGCTGTATGATGGGATTTTGTTTTATTGATCACATAAGTTGAGATAATAGAATTAGTATTTATATGGCTCATATGTTTAGCAGTGGGGTGATACTATGCTTTTTGCAAATAAGGCATGTTAATGCATGACAGTATAGTATTTGAAAAAGGGCTTGTGGTAGATAGTGGTTTGCAATTAATTTCATGTTCATGTTCAATATGTGTAGGAAAGTTATTTGTTAGTCTTCATCAAATACAGTGTACTCCCAACCATTCCATTACAAGATTTTGGAGTGAAATTCAGTAATCTTGACAAGAAACATAATAGATATAGTTAAGAATTTATATTGAGAGACAGGTATAACCAAATCATGATTTAAATTTTTTTTGCTTCTTTAATGCTTGAAATATCTGAATGTTATTTAAAGTACTAACCAAAAGTGGTAAAGGTCTTTTATTTGAGAAAAAAAATCTACCACGCTCTTAATTTCATTGGGATGTGTATATATTCCATGTCCAGATATTGAGCATGTTATTGTACAAAAATTTTAGTTTATATGATAAAAATGTTTCACAACTACTGTATATGTGATGAAGGAACTTTACTTTTTGACATAATGAGAGAAGACAATGACAGTACAGTGAAGACTTCATATACTTCTTAGACAAATTATAAACTCTTTTGATATCACACTTTATGAATGGAGCTGCATGAACAAAGTTGTTTCAGTCCTTTTTTGTCTCTCATTTCCTAATTCTAAATTACATTAAGAGTAGGGAAAATTCTTATGAATTTTAGGGAAACACACTTGATACTCCATGTTTTATGTCTGTGGGTAATATTTATTACTTTGTAATGTATCAAGATATTATGTATATGCATTATTAGATATACAAAGAGTGAGTGAGGGTGTGAGTGAGTGGGGGGGAGGTCCATGTGTGCTCATATTTGCAAGTGTGTTTGGGCCTACACTTGTTAGCGTACATGCATGGATTTATGCATGGGCACAGTGTTTGTCCGCACACTGAATATACACACATACTTGCACGTGCACTGCACATACATATACATGTAAACATGGAATTTCCAAACTCACACGCACACACAAATGAACATTTATAGGTATTTATGTATTATTATTTACAAATATATGGGTTTATTTATTAGCAAATGTATGCATGTACATATGTATACAGTAGAATATAGACATGAATATGAGTATAAGTGTAGACATAATTAAATTGATGTATGTGTGCATATATATGTATGTGTGTGTGTCATTGTTTGTTTGTCTCTGCGTGCACATTTCTTTTGTTTTATATTCCGAAAGAATGTGATGCAGTCACTATAGTCTCGGTATTTGTATTAAATAATATGGTTATTCCGGTGTAGGTGTTTCAAAATATCCTTCATTTTTCATCCCATTCACAGTGTTAAGTATAAGGTTTTTCTCAAACAAAGATTAGTATAATCTTAGATAATTTAAATATTTGATACTTTGGTGGAGGGTGAATGGTATTTTTGTAAGGCAGTAAAATGACCAGTTGATCAGCAGTGAATATAAAGATTACTAATGCTATGATTTATTATTATTGTAAAGGTTAGGTAAAGGCCTGATATATGACTAATTATGATAGCTGTTAATATGTAGATGCTTGCCTGAGTAGTAGATCAAGTTGATATGTAGTTCATCTTAAAATTATTCACTAAACTGCCCTTTCAATTGTAATCTAAAATTAGTGAATTGACATGATATTCTAATTGTAGTCTTCCATAGGAGGATTTTATCTTTGCTGTATTTCTCTTGCTTTATTCTTTCTACTTCTTAACTTACCTCATTTCTTGTCTCATTCACTCTTTCCTCTCCCTAAAAGACTCTTGATATCTGCACACAGAGAAGTTCATTCAGATTTTCCAGAAAATCTATGAAAACGATTCTTCGACTGCATATACTAGCTGACCTTATCCTGCTTTGACCCATTTTGTTTTGTTTGTTGTTGTTTTTGTTAAAGATTTGTTTGGATATATGTAATGTTTCTTTTTGTTTGTTTGTTCATACTTTTCTTCTTAGACCAGATCAAATATTTTTTGTTGAAATAAAGGTTCCTTTATCTTTTGAAGTGTTAGTATGTTAGAAATATAAAGATAATTAGAGGTTACTGCTGTAAATTATTGAAAAAATCGGTAATTTGCAAAATTTACCCGTAAGACCATAATAGGTCTTGAAGGACAAAAACTGACTTTCTCAAATTTGTAGGCGCACGAAGTGTTGATTATGGTGATGTCAGCCCACGGAGAAAGTTGCGAGAAGACCTGAAGTGCAAGAGCTTCCGATGGTTCCTGGAAAACATTTACCCCGAGTCTCAGATGCCTCTTGATTACTATTATTTGGGAGAGGTAGGTTTTATTTATGGTAATGACTTGATGTTTATTTATTCATTTTTTAAGATTATAAGTGAGAGAGTAAGTGACAGGAGTGAGTTAACATGCAAGTGAGTGAGTGAACAACTTTTTATGGTGTAACTATAAAAAAAATAGAATTGTATGTGAGAGAGTAAGTGAATAAGCAAGTAAACACACAAGTGAAGCGAGTGAGTGAGTGAGGCGAGTGAGTAAGGGAGAGAGTGGGTAAAAGAGAGTAAGTGAGTGAGTTAGTGTGTGTGTGTATTTGAGTGTAAGTATAAGTGTGAGTGTGAGTGTGAGTGTGAGTGTGAGTGTGAGTGTGTGTGTGTGTGTGTGCGTGTGAAAGAGAGCAAGAAAAAAAAAGAGAGAGCAAGAAAAAAAGAGAGAGCAAGAAAAAAAGAGAGAGCAAGAAAAAAAGAGAGAGCAAGAAAAAAAGAGAGCAAGAAAAAAAGAGAGAGCAAGAAAAAAAGAGAGAGCAAGAAAAAAAGAGAGAGCAAGAAAAAAAGAGAGAGCAAGAAAAAAAGAGAGAGCAAGAAAAAGAGAGAGAAGAAAAAAAAGAGAGAGGAGAGAAAAAAAGAGAGAGAGAAAAAAAAGAAGAGAGAGAAAAAAAAGAGAAAGAGAAAAAGAGAAAGGGAGAAAAAAGAGAGAAAGGGAGAAAAAAAGAGAGAAAGGAGGAAAAAAAGAGAGAAAGGGAGAAAAAAAGAGAGAAAGGGAGAAAAAAAGAGAGAAAGGGAGAAAAAAAGAGAGAAAGGGAGAAAAAAAGAGAGAAAGAGAGAAAAAAAAGAAAAGGAGAAAAGAGAGAAAGAAAAAAGAGAGAAAGGAAAAAAAAGAGAAAGGGAAAAAAAAGAAGAAAGGAGAAAAAAAAGAAAAGGGAGAAAAAAAAGAGAGAAAGGAGAAAAAAAGAAAAAGAGAAAAAGAGAGAAAGGAGAAAAAAGAGAGAGAAAGGAGAAAAAAAAAGGAGAAAAAAGAGAGAAAGGGAGAAAAAAAGAGAGAAAGGAAAAAAAAAAGAGAGAGAGAAAAGAGAGAGAGAAAGAAAGAGAGAGAGAACGAGAGAGAAGAGAGAGAGAGAGAGAGAGAGAGAGAGAGAGAGAGAGAGAGAGAGAGAGAGAGAGAGAGAGAGAGAGAGAGAGAGAGAGAGAGAGAGAGAGAGAGAGAGAGAGATATTTGGTTAGATTCATTACTGATTTTTTTACTATTTCAGTATTTTTTTTCTTTCTTTCTTTTTTCTTTTGATAATCAGTCATTTCTTGTAAGAGAATCTTGACGTAAGTATGTTCTACTGGGCATGATATATCTTTTTGACCAGTAACCAATAAACTGTAAGATAAGATCGCTCTTTCTCTTAAAAGTATATTTTTATAACATGATATTGTTTTCTTAGATTCGCAATGTAGACACACAGAGCTGCTTGGACACTTTAGGTCGCAAGAGTGGGGAGAACCTTGGCACCAGCTACTGCCATGGTCTCGGAGGCAACCAGGTTGGCATAGACCCGATACATCTGAGGAGCAATTTGTTTTCCCCCCCTCTCCATATCCTCTTTTCTTCTGAAACATCTCCTTTTACATTTTTTATTTACTAACATTCCAAATATCATTACTAATGTTTCACCTATGCTTGTTTATATTTCAGATGTACAGGGATATTTTCATAATTGTATGCTTTTCATTCGCTCTTCCGTTGTGCTGGTTCTGTTACTGGTGGTGATGTTCATTGTGCATAAGTTCATTCTTTTGTTTAATTGATTTTATGAAAGAGAATGCAAGGTGTGGTCATTTTTATTTTGTGTACATATTCAATGAGAATTTGTCATTATGATACCATTAACATGCTGATTTACTCTTTCATGGAAATGCTTATGTTGCGAACATACATTCATCACAGACTGTAATTCCTGCTGTGATTAATCTTGCATCATTGAACTTTGATTTCATCTGTCTTTTCTTTGCAGGTGAAAATTCTCAAAACTTTTAAACTTTTTTCCAACTAACAAATAATGTTTAAGGCAAACCTTTTAGTTAAAAAGTACAAGAATAAATTGCACTCACATTAACAGATAATGAATGTAAATGGGGAAACGTGCTTGGCTACATCTTCTGAGAAATTGCACATAGCTCATTGTGACTTCAATTCGGGATCCCAGGTCTGTTTGAAAAGTACAGTGTGTTTGTCTGCTGATGAGATTTGATTTGATTTTTTTTTTATGCACAGGGAGAATGTATAATGGTTATGGATTGTGATTTTAACTGCCAGTGTGTCAAAATTTAACTGTCCTTTATATGATTTCTCTTAGATTGCTATGATAGTCTTTGTTTTACACTGATGATCATGGCTATTAGAATTCTGATTTGATATCAGTGGGTATACTTATTAAGATGTAAATGATTATGAAAGAGATATAATCATATTGCATTTAAATCCTTTGATTGTCTCAGAAAATCACAGAAAGCACTCTATTACAATGAATTGCAGATTAAAGAGATTGTGCATTGTAGCTAAGTATATAACTTCATTATTTGTCATTTGTAAATGTTGGTGTTTAAATATATCTGTGCCACAAACTTTGAGAATTTTGCCAGTTTGTTTAAACAAACATGCACATGCATATGCATACACAGACATGCCCATGCACAAATACAGACACATATATAATTTTATTAATTAGTGGTAATTATCAAATCATATTTTTAAACTATTTTTAGTGCTTGAATAATTGATAACTGCAACAGTCATATTAAGTAGATGACACTTGCCCTTTGCTTATGCATGCTTCTTCTATTCTTTTCTTCCTCCTTTTTTTTTTTTTTACAGTGGGAATATGACAATCTCTACACCTACCTGCAGTTGATTTATCATTGTCTTAACCAAACTTGCTTTCATAGGGGATGGATGACTGTTTGAATCATGGGGTTCAGTTGTTCTGGATGACTAGGCCACATATGTTGGACAATGGAGCACTCTGTATATTGATTATTTTAACCTCCTTTTGTTGAATATCAGTTACATGTTGTACAAATACAGATATTTTACTTGTTGAAGAAATCAAGTAAACGTCTAAGAAGTAACATTTCTGATTGATTCACAGAAATAAATAAGAGACTATTCATTGAACAAACATTACTCTTGAGTTCAGTTTTGATAACATTCAGTAATATATATTGTAATTCTATGTTTGAGGGATGCATAAAATTTCTTTAAGCTTTTCACACTTTTGGTTGAGCACTATGGAATTGTTTGATTATCATATAGAGGATTTTTTCACCCCACTTCATGCACTCTGTTACCTTGCCACTCAAGAGAATTTACATGTTTGAATAGGATGCACACTTGCATTTCTTTTGTCTTTTTTTTGTACATTCTATTAGTTTACATGATCTTTTCTTCCATTTTTAAGCTTTTTTTTTTGTTTGTTTTTTTCTTCCTTTTTTCTTTTATATCTTTCCGTATTTGGTTTCTATGTTTTTTTCTCACTTTCTTTTCCTAGTGAATATCTTATTTCTTTCCCACGTCTTTCCGTATTTGGTTTCTATGTGTTTTTCTCACTTTCTTTTCCTAGTGAATATCTTGTTTCTTTCCCACGTCTTTCCTTCATTTCTTCTGCATTCACTGTCCTTTTTACTGGTAACAGAACCAGGTTAAGAAGTCACAATTATAGATGGGATTGTTGTAGAAATGAAGATCTGAAGATTGGTCTGTGTGTGATGTTCTATATTCAAGATGCCCTGTACATCTACTTGCCTTCATCACTTTCCTTTGATGTAAAACAACTTGCAATATATGAAAATAAGGTGAATTAGTATCTGAAATATATTGATATATAATTTTCCAACAAGTTTTGGAAATATGTAACATATTCCCCCTTACAATAGGTATTTGCGTACACAAAACGGCAGCAGGTTATGTCAGATGATAACTGCTTAGATGCTTCCAATCCAAGTGGGCCTGTTAAGCTTGTCCGGTGCCATGGTATGGGTGGAAACCAGATGTGGACCTATAATGATCAGGTAATATCTAAATCAGTCATCTGTGAAAGATATTTTTTGTCCTGTTAAAGTTTATTTAAAGAGATAGGGGTACTAGTTTCATGATGTTATTATTTTGGAGTGAAGGATAATACTCATTTTCTTTTAGAAAGTATATTCTTTCTTGTTAGGTGAGTAGTCTTGATGTTGAGTATTTCATTTAATAGTACATTTAATATTTCTCATAAAGAATAATCAGCTAAATGTTGGTGTATCTGTATACTGTAGAATCATTAGAAAACTGGGTAAACTGAAACTGAAATGTTAATTTACATGTCTCAATTTTTCACAGGATGGATCACTCCGACATGTTAATTCTGGGAGATGTCTACAAAAGCCTGATGCCCGTGATGTCACTTTACCTGTCTTGAGGCCATGTGATGGATCAGCAGGTCAACAATGGGTTATGAAAGGCTCCTTCAAGTGGCAGGCTAACTGAGTGTATGTCATGACTGTTATTTCAGATGGTTACTGAATTTCCCAGTAATTCATCTATATTGTACATTAGCGGACTGAGTAGTAGCTGACTGTGAAATGCCTACACATTTTCAATTTACAGGGTAAAATTTGTGAACTGTATTTTGAAATGTTGTATGTGCTTTGTATCCTTTGGGTATACAATCATTAAAAAAAAAGATATGTAAAACTATGACGTACTATGAACTTGTGTATTTAAAATGTGTATCTTTATGGAGATTCATGGTATATCAGTAGATAATGCTTTAAATTATATGATGTGAAATATAGGTAAATTTCTACTGGTTGTGAATAATGGACCAGCTACTTAAAGAGCTCAAGGTCTGTTTTTCCAAGATCTTGGACTATGGACAGATATACCATCCATAATGAAGCTAACATTGTTTCATCTTTTGTACTTAATACACTTTTGATTAATGAAAGAGACTTACACATAGTGATGGTTATACTATCTAATTCTCTGGGCATGGCAGAAAGATTTACTTCTTAAGAAATTAATGTATAAAACTAAAAATTGTATTTGTTCTTTCTGGATTAGCAAATGATAAAATATAATACCACGGAGTGGGGTTATATGTAAAGTTTGAGAAAATTAATTTTTTCAAGTATGAAGTTTTGTTAAGATTTGATTGCAAAAGGAACGGATAAAAGCAGTCTTATATTCCTGCCAAAATATAGAAAGATTATAATACATAGGTTCAAAGAAGAAAACTATTTTGTGAGCTAGAAATTAATATTACATAAATATGATGATCAATATGGCAATTAGTGTAAACATACATTGCATGTTGTACCAATATTGAAAATATCTACAGATACAGTGAAGTATGTATATATAATGTAAATATGATATTATCCTGTAACTTCCATAGTTATATCTTCCTGTATTTTCTGTCCAGGTAAGAATGTGTAACTAGTGCCTTCTAAGAAAGCCAGAGAAGGTTTTGTGTTGTAATGGAAAACCTGGCATATAAAATAGGACTATACCATAGGAGTTGGTGTTGATGGCCATTCATATTAGTAGGAAAAGGTGCTGAGTATTTTTTTTAAACCACAAAAATCCAATAAAATTCATTTGGCAGTAGGTCACACCAGTTGTGATTTATGGGACTAAAATTGTATAGTAAAATGGATTGTCAACTTCCCAAGATTTATAACACTAGACTTTCCACTTTAAAATTAAAAGACTTGTGATTTATCTTTAATAGATCTCCTTTCATTAGCATTCAAATTACAGTGATGTGTAATATATATTCATGAACTTAGAGATATTTTTGACAGTTTGATTTAATGTGACGTATAGATTTCATTTTATTATTTTTAATACAAAGCAAGAGTTTATGATCAAATAAGGCTTTGTATATGATCAGTAGAGAATAAGAACAAAAAATATATAAAGATCTTCCATAAATTAGGTGTAACTGAAAATATAAGAACTACTTGAGTTTATAAAGTGCGCTCAGTGAATTCTAAACCTCTTTGAAGCCAAATTTGTGAACAATATTTCCAACAAAATGTAATTACTGTTTAAGAGGTTAAATTGTATGATTAGTATGCTCAATGAACTTGAATCTTTATGTTAAGCAGATTTTTTTGTGCTATCATGAAGAAACTGTGATAATTGCACAAAATTTATCACTGCATAAGATTGGTACTGTCAATTAGGGTAATTATTTAAAAATTGCATACAGAGAAGCTCATATTATGGTATTTAATGTATCAAAATTGGGATATGGTAAATATAATCAATGAAAACGGCTATACAACTCCATTGTTTTGCAAGAACATCAGACCTTTAAAGTGAAGTGATCTATACTTAATTGCCACTAATGAGCCATTTAGAAATTTGTGCAGAATAAATTAAGGAGTAAAAATATATTACATTACCACGATGTGAATTCTCAGTATGTTGAAGAGTTTTCTCGTGTCATAAGAAATTTGTTTATTTCTCAGGTTACTATTTTGAATGATAAGTAGACTTAGTCAGGTTAACGATGCTGAAACAAACAAGACAACATATTAAGAAAGTACTTGTGTAACTGACTTTTTTATTACAGAACCTAAACAATGAAGGATAATATTGCTATTTTAACCCATGGAAAGAAAAGTATAGGATTGTGAAATTGAATTGATAAATGTATTTGTGAAATGAGGAAAAAAGGTGAAAAAATGTTGAAAGTTAACCCAAACTTCATTGATTGTCAACTATGAATACATGATTATTTATTATTGTTATCATTCTTGTCTTGTTGAAAAGTCATGATGGTGTGACAATGGTTGTGATTTTTTTTGTGTGCATTTTTTTCTTCATTTGCGGTGGTGGGACTAGTCTTCTTTTTTTCTCTTTTCTGTTGTGAAGTAATTAGATAATATTTTTCATGGGTATGGAAAGGTCTTGAAAGAGAATCTGTAGAGAGGGATCTGAATGTTCTGACTTGTAATACTTTTCATGAAATCGATTCACTAGGTCCATCATCATCTAGACAAGTGTTTTTAGTCATGATTCATCCATCAATATCATAAGAAAAAAATCTTGACCATATTGGGTTAGCCTGAATTATTCCTTGTGCCAAGATTCTCGGTAAAAAAAAAAAAAAAAATTTAAACGAATTGTAGTAACTTTGGATAAAAGTAAAGGTATGCATATGTCATTAGTGATTCATAAAGTTATACAATTGCCATTGGAGAATTAGTTAATAATTAGATTAGTTCCTTAGTACTAAAAAAGCTCCTTTTAGCCCAATGATTCTTGAACGGACAAGTAGAAATGACATGCAGAACTTCAAGGTAATATATTTCTATATATGGTCATGATTTTTTTGTTGTTGTTATGCTACCACTAAACATTATATCACAGCTTACTTTTTAACAAGCAGATTCCCCCCATTAACAGTGAACTGGAATATGTGAGGTACAACTTTTAGTGGGTTTCCCTTAAAAATACCATCAATTCAGAGAAAAGATATGTGCTCTGTTATTTTTCCACATTCCAATAATATCCACTTTCATGCTTGTTTAATAGGAAAGAAAATTCCTTTGTGTGAGATGCATTTGTTTTGTGTTGTATATTAAGTTTGCTGAATTTGCTGAATGAATGTGTTATAATCCACAATGTAACCCTTCCATATAATATTTTATAACCTTATTGGTTGTAAAACTTTATAAAATAAGAAAATATGTGCCAATGAGGAATTCAATATTGAAACTTCATAAGTAAATAAGTATGCCAAGGAGTGTCATGTAGTATGAGTGACCAGCTAATTATATTTGTGATAGATAAAATCTGCAAGAACTGGACTTATTAGGAAATGAGCATGAAAGTGGTGTTGTCTCTTTCCCATTGGTATTCTCTCTATGTAGTGGATCATTCCATAATGCACCAATGCATTATTTTCTTTCTTTATCCAAGATATACATCATACTTGATTCTGTCATGTGATTTTGATTGTTTTGATATTGTACAGTCTTCATCATTCCAGTAGGAATGGTCTTTTCGTGAAAGCTTGTTTTCAACCTTGGAAGTTTTTGACTAGATGGAAACAGAAAATTCATCGTATACAAGAGAAATCTTGAATGAACTTCAGGCTTACAGGCAATGTGAGAAGTGTGTAGTTTTGATTACAAAATGTGATTTATATATAAACAGTATGCACTTCACAAAGCTTGACTAAAATAGAGACAAAGGCAGATAGTTCCATTTAGTGTTTACAAAACAGGATGCTGGATTTCCTGGTGATCATGTTTTATCAAGATTAGGTTGCATTTGCAGTGCACAATTAGGGTTTTCTTTCCCCTTGGCAATTTTGTATTTTGTGTGTGATTCTGGAAGATATATTTTGTATATATATATATATATTAATATGTGTGATTAGTGCAAAATTTGAAAACTCATGGCAGAAAGTGATATTCCACTAACTCTAGCAGGTGTACGAGAAGTGAATGGTCTAAAAAAAGAAAAGGAGAAAAAAAATCCTGTAAGTCCTCTTCCATCTTTGTGTGGCAGAGTGTCTGAATGAATGACCCATTATTTAAATCTGATGCTCATTCATATATTGTTGTTTGCCTAATGAAGTGTGGTTGTGATTCTCTATATAAATTTTTCTTGCTGTGATATTCCTCCTTTATAATGGAACCTACAGTTTTGATTAATTTATATAAGAGAAGCAATGACCATGTTTCAGTACATTGTAAGATCTGTGATCATATTCTTACATGCATTGGGATGGTTGTTTAATTTAAACAGTTTGATTTTGAAGCAATATTAAATTTTCATTTGTTTTTATGAAATTTGAAAGCTATGCTCTACTTTATATTTATAAAGATACATGGCCTATTTGTTAGTTTTTGGTTTTGAAACCAATGATAACTGAAGATTCGATAATATTTTTACTGCAGATAAGGTAAACACCGAAAATTATAGAGCTAGTTTAAAGTCATCCCTTAAACATTAGCAATGTGATCATCATTCCATATTGCAGCCATACACAATTTACATGGCAGTGGATTATGGTTACATTTGTCTGCTGAAATTAGTGGCCATATTCCTTTGTGATGGCATTTTAGCCATATTGCTTTTTGAAATCCAGTCTGGAAATGAACCTTGTAGAATTACATTTACATAGGTGGCACCAACATCATTTTACTGAGAAGTTAAATTCTTGTGCACACTTTTCCTTTTTTTTTTTTTTGAAGAATGTTAAGTTTGCCTTTTTAAATTTTATATTTAGTGACTGAGTTACTATAAGTGCTATGTTAAAAATTCCTAAATATGGTGCTTATTAAAGCCAAACATTAAAGGTCTTTGAAGTGTAAAGTGACAAGATGAATGTTCAGGCATTATGACATGCACTTAAGGTGCTTGCATTCTACTTTATTATGTTGGTCATTTTTTTTTTTTTTTTTCTATTTGTAAACATAACTTAGGCAGATGAAAAGCGTGACAAGTGACTTGCTAATAATAATAATTGTTGCTTGTAAGAAAAAAAATATAATTTATTTTTATATGTATCATGTGTAAACCTTCAATTTTTATTATAAATCTTATAACAAGATCATGTTTTCATTAATTAATTTGAGTGTAATAAAAAAAATCAGTGGACAAGGATTCTGACCTATGGTGAAATACCCAGATGACTGTATAATTAATTTTATGTAATCAAAGACTGTGCTGATTTATTGAAATGTTGGGAAGATTTGTGAATAACTGTGTGTATGTATGGTGATGGGAACCTTACAAAGTTTTTAATAAAATATTTACATTAACATTTATTTTTATTGCCTTACCTGCAATTGATTTCTCACTTGTGATGGAATTGAAACAAAGAAAACACTTTTTTGGCACGTATTGCTCTGGAGCTATTTTGATTCTAACTAGCTAATATTTATATTTAGTGACACTATTAAAAGTAAACCCCCCAGTCCTCATCTTAACTAATTTTGCATGTTTTTTTCTTCTCCTCCTTTCCTTTTCCTTCTCTTCCTCCCCCTTTTCTGTCTACTTCCTAAGGTGTGAGAACTGTACTGAAAGGATAAAAGGCTGGCTTTAAGTCAGTCCTGAATGCCCTCTGGGATCCATGGGCACAGCATTCCCACAGTTAATTGGCTAGCCCTTATCTCTTATGGGGACCCTAAGGTGTAGACTTTCTTTTCCCCCCACTTATTTCAGGCTTACCATGGCCAATAATAAAGATTTTTTTTACATATTAAATCCTATCTAAATTTGCGTTCACAATTTTCCTGACTCCTGCCTCTCCATTGACCATGGCTCTGACCACTGATAATATTTCTCCCTCCTCTTTTTACTGACAACTCTTATCTATTCTGAACCACCCATCCAGGTCATTACTCAAAACTTAAGAATGCAACCCATCCTCTCTCCCAACATTCTCCACTTCATCACCTAGTACACTGTCTTCATTATCTACCTCCTCACCTTACTACTACTCTTCATCCTTATTGTCCTCCCCACAGTAATCACTCACTCCACACCACCCCCTCTCCCTTCTACTGCTTCCACCTCTACAAACCTTTTGAGTACTCTCTCTGGCCCAGCCAAGTGGGATCAATTCTTTGTGGTTCCCCTTATAGCCCCTTACTCTGACAATACCCTTCTCTTCCAATAATGTCTCCAAAAAAAAGTAGGCAAAGTTTCCTTTCGCATTTGTTCTGATCATTCACACCTTGTTATAGTTACCTCCAAGTCTCATCCTTGAGTACTATTTACCCTGACTGACCTCACAGGCAAACCTATTCCTGCTGAATCTCTCTACGCCTTTCTCACTTTACCTGCAACACCAGAGGACCTAAAAGTTCCACTCCATCTCCTCTTACCACATCCTCTTCTGCACCCTCCTCTTCCTCTGTTCCTCGAACATCTATCCCATCTTCTCTTCACAAAAGAACCTTTGTTTACCAGACCTCCCCACCCAACTCTCCTCAAGAAATTCTTGAAAACATCCAAAATTTTATAAACAGGACTCAAGAGAATGTGCTGCTACCTCATTCACCCTCCAATCCCTCTTCCTATTCCCTCTAAATTCAATGGCATTTGCTGATATCCATCCATCCTCCTCAAGTGCCCCCTACCCCTCTTCCTCCCACTCTCTCGACACACCCCATCCTCTCCTTCTCCATGTGCACTATTCCCTCTTAGTTCCCCATTGTCCTTACCAATCCCACCTGGATGCATGTGAATCCCTTCTGTCACAACAGTGTTAATGTTTAATGCTTGAAAATAAATGTGCTAGACATCAAAGGTCATATAGCACTATGGTAAAGCATTGCATCAGACAGGACAAAGGAGAGTTAAAGATTAAGATACAATGTGTAAGATGTCATATACTGATACTGCAATACATTAAACAAGGCAGGTAAGCAGGTGGTTTTCACAATCTGAACAATCTTTGTTGAAGATAAAACAGTCCTGGTATAAATATTTATGAAGCAGGTGGTGCNCTGGTATTCCGGGATTCTGGGATTCCGCGATTTCTGGTATTCCGGGATTTCTGGTATTCCGGGGTATTCCGGGATTCTGGTATTCGGGATTCTGATTCCGGGATTCTGGTATTCCGGGATTCTGGTATTGGATATTCCGGGATTCTGGTATTCCGGGGTTCTGGTATTCCGGGATTCTGGGATCTGGTATTCCGGGATTTCTGGATTCTGGGGGATTCCTGGGATTCTGGTATTCCGGGATTCTGGATTCTGGGATTCCGGGATTCTGGATTCCGGGATTCTGGGATTCGGGATTCCGGGATTCGGGGGATTCTGGATTGGATTCTGGCGGGATCTGGGATTCTGGGATTCCGGGATTCTGGTATTATTCCGGGATTCTGGTATATTCCGGATTCTGGGATTCTGGGATTCCGGGATTCTGGGATTCTGGGATTCTGGGATTTCCGGGATTCTGGGATTCTGGATTCGGGATTCTGGGATTCCGGGATTCTGGTCCCTGTTGTTCAGCAGCTTTCCGTTATCAGGGCAGTTAGCTTTCTGTTTCCCGAATAGTACTAGGGGGATGGGACAAAAACACGCACGCATGAACACATACACAGACAGACAGACACACACACGCACACGCACAGACACACAGACACACACACACTCACACGCACGCACACACACGTACAGAAACACACCCTTATACACACACACAAGATATACAACCACATTCGTAACACACACGTACAGAAAACACACATACGCGCTCAAATACAAACAAACACACACACACACACACACACACACACACACACACACACACACACACACACAACACACACACACACACACACACACAACACACACAGACTTTACGAGACAAACTTAACAGAACAAGCAAGCAGCCCAAACAAGGCAATACATATTTGCAGCAAGCTATAAAATAAAAAAATGAAAAAAATAGCTTCTTAAAAAAACAGAAGCTGCAAAAGGCGTCGAGAGAGAGGAGAGAGAGAGAGAGAAGAGAAGAGAGAGAGAAGAGAGAGAGAGAGAGAGAGAGAGAGAGAGAGAGAGAGAAGAGAGAGAAGAGAAGAAAGAGAGAAGAACGAAAAGAGAAACAACGAGAGGAAGAGAGAGAAAGAGAAAGAAACACATCCAGAACTTTTTGCCCGACAGACTTATCCGAAAACGAACAAGGAATTTGGAAAGTTAGCCAATAGCCCCAAAGTGACTGCAGACTGATAGGAGTTAGAGTCATTTTAGAGTCACTTCCTCATTTAAAGTAAACCTTAAACCTTTATTTTCATATCTTTGCAAACATTGTTCTTTTCTGTTAAGTATCTCTATTCGTATTTCTATAAAGCAGTTTTAAATATTTATCTGAAGCTTCTTTATGTATATTTCTGTTCTAAAAAAAAATACTAAAAATATATAATTATGTAAAAGAAAATATTCAAATATATTTCTTTAAATAATTTCAAGTCATATTTCCGAAGAAAAGAAAAAAATGCACATATATATTCATCCTTATCTATCTTTATTTCTCTATCAATCTAATCTTGATAAAGCATTTCCGGAAAGCAAAATTAAAACCCAACATTATCCCTCCTATAAATAAATATTTCCTTTATCATCCCTTCCATAAACAAACACTTCTTTTCCATCCCTTCCATAAACAAACACTCACCTTCATTCTTCTCATCCCTTCCATACACAAGCACTTCCTTTACCCCATCCCTTCCATAAACAAACACTTCCACCATCCCTTCCATAAACAAACACTTCCTTACCATCCCTTCCATAAACAAACACTTCCTTTACCATCCCTTCCATAAACAAACACTTCCCTTACCATCCCTTCCATAAACAAACACTTCCTTCTCATCCCTTCCATAAACAAACACTTCCCTTACCATCCCTTCCATAAACAAACACTTCCCTTACCATCCCTTCCATAAACAAACACTTCCCACCTCCCTTCCATAAACAAACACTTCCTTTACCATCCCTTCCATAAAACAAACATCCCTTCCATCTCTTCCATAAACAAACACTCCCTTACCATCCCTTCCATAAACAAACACCCTTATCATCCCTTCCATAAACAAAACCATTTCCTTTATCATCCTTCCATAAACAACACTTCCCTACCATCCCTTCCTAAACAAACCATCCCTTAATCCAAACAACACTTCCTTACCATCCCTTCCATAAACAACATTACCATCCCTTCCATAAACAAACACTTCCCTTACCATCCCTTCCATAAACAAACACTTCCCTTACCATCCCTTCATAACAAACACTTCCTTACCATTCCATAAACAAACATCCCTTACCATCCCTTCCATGAACAACACTTCCTTTCTCATCCCTTCCATAAACAAACACCCTTTATCATCCCTTCCATAAACAAACACTTCCCTTACCATCCCATCCACAAACAAACACTTCCTTTCTCATCCCTTCCATAAACAAACACTTCCCTTACCATCCCTTCCATAAACAAACACCCTCATTAAACAAACACCCTTTATCATCCCTCCATAAACAAACACCCTTTATCATCCCTTCCATAAACAAACACTTCCCTTACCATCCCTTCCATAACAAACACACATCCCTCCATAAACAAACACTTCCCTTACCATCCCTTCCCAATAAACAAACACCCTTTATCATCCCTTCCATAAACAAACACACTTCCTTTTATCATCTCTTCCATAAACAAACACTTCCTTTTATCATCTCTTTCCATAAACAAAACACTTCCTTTCTCATCTCCTCCATAAACAAACACTTCCCTTCCATCCCTCCATAAACAAACACCCTTATCATCCCTTCCATAAACAAACACTTCCTTTTACCATCCCTTCCATAAACAAAACACTTCCTTTTATCATCCCTTCCATAAACAAACACTTCCTTTTATCATCCTTCCATAAACAAACACTTCCTTTTATCATCCCTTCCATAAACAAACACTTCCTTTCTCATCCCTTCCATAAACAAACACTTCCTTTACCATCCCTTCCATAAACAAACACTTCCCTTACCATCCCTTCCATAAACAAACACTTCCCTTACCATCCCATCCATAAAACAAACACTTCCCTTATCATCCCTTCCATAAACAAACACTTCCTTTACCATCCCTTCCATAAAAACACTTCCTTATCATCCCTTCCATAAACAAACACTTCCCTTATCATCCCTTCCATAAACAAACACTCCTTCCTTCCATTTCCCTTACCATTCCATAACAAAACACTTCCTTACCATCCCTTCCATAAACAAACACTTCCCTTACCATCCCTTCCATA